AAGTTTTGATGAAGCTACTTGTAATGATTCTTAATAAGTTGACATAACATTAAAGGCAGTAGAGATAAAAATTGTGTTCTAAGAATGTAAAGAAATATATAATAGAAGTACGCATTCACGTGCATGCATATAGCCTCTTTCTGGTCTAACCTGATTTAAATACAACCTAGAATAATAGCATGCCTCTTAGATGGTTTTTCTTAAAGGACATTTCTTTTGGCAGTTTTTTGGATACATACTGCATTGCCTCCTAATTCTGCTTCTGCACACACATTTTCAGCATAGTAGACAAATGATTCTTAATTTTAAAACCCGTTTTAAAATTAGACTCCCCATAGACTTCCCATCTCACTTAGAGGAAGAGCTGAAGCCTGTCAGTGGTCTATAAAATGCTACACAATCTGCATTCCCCAACCCCACAATTTCATACTAGTCTACCTGCTTTCAATCCATTTCAGCCACATTGACCTCCTTAACTATTCTTATACCATGACTTAAGGCCTTTGCACTTGTTCTTCCCTGTTCTTGGAACGCTGTTCCCCATAGATATTTATATGGCTCATTCTTTATTCCCTTTACCTTTTTATGGAAACCTTCCTTTACAATTCTGTTTAAAATTTCACTTGTTTGTACCACCCCCAACATCAGTCCTTAGTCCCTTTTTGTTTTCTCTGCATTTTTCACCCTCTGAATATGTGTAATTCCAGAAATCATCTGTTTTATTTGTTTATTGTTGTTCACCCCCAGTAGAATACAAATTCCATTAAAGGAGGAATTTTTGTTCTGTTTACAGCTTTTTCTCCAGTGTCCAAAATAATGTCCAGCATGTAGTATTTGCTCAGTGAACATTTAAAGAATAAATAAATGGGATTTTGTGTACTTTAAAAGGAGATGAACAAGTGACAAGGCTGAAATTCTTAAGAAAAATGAAAAGTCCAGCAAGATATTTAACTTGGCCAAATAGAAAACCATTTTCTTTTACCTATATACAGAAATAGGCTGCAAAGCCAGGATTTTCTTTGTTAAGCAGCTTTGAGTACACCTTAAACACAGATAATAACTTGAAAGAGCTTTGAAAATTAATGGAGCATCTGTAAAGATGGCTTGGACTTTGGACATCTTGAAAACAATTTTGAGTCACATATATATGATTATACATATGATTATATATATTACATTGCATCTTTGCATATTTTTATAGTACAGATTGCTTTGGGGGTTATCTATAGCAAATACAAGTAAGTTAATAGAATTTTACTTTAGTTATCCCTCCTAATTGTTTGTGAATGAGGAAAAAAAAAGGTCCAGAGATGTTACAAACATCACTCAGCTGGGAGAATTGGAACCTGAGGATAAACTTGGATCTGACTCTGAAACCATGTATATGTGTGTTCTTGCATAATGCCTGCCACACACTGAGTAGACACTCAGTACTATTTTTGAATTGATGGATAAATGAAATGTATTAACATGCTAATTGCATAGTAGTGTTGAACATAAGGAATATTGATGTATAGGTGGTTGTGTTATATTCCTGGCTACTCATATTTTAGGCATTCAAGCATTATTTAAAAAACATGTATGTTTTTAAGGGTCATGTAACTAAGTTACAGTGCTTGGATTCTAAAATTGAATGAAGAACCTGCAAGGTAAGATCTAAAATATTTACTCATTAATAAACATTTTAGTACTCATTCCTGATATAGATGCTCTGGATACTGCAGTGAACAAGACAGACAAGTCTCTGATAGAACTTACATTTTAGAGGGCATGGGAGACAATAAATAAATCCATAATAAGTGCTATACAGAGGAGTAAAGTGAGATGAAATTGAGAAAGAGGCCTGAGGCTCTCAAATGGGAACAAGCCTATGAATTTGGGGATATGAAAAAAAAAAATGTGGCTTTAGCTGTCAGGGAAAGAAATGCCTCAATTAGGAGGAGCACTGGAAAAAAATACAAGTCCTGTAATGCTTTGTAAACCTTAGGCTAAGGATTTTGGAATTGATTCTGGTTATAATCAATTGCCATGGGAAATTTTGCTTGGTTTTGTTTTTAAGCTAAGTCGTGTTTTCTGTTTGTTTTGTGATGGCTTAATTGACACACAGTCCACGTACCATATAATTCACCCATTTAAAGTGTACAAATAGTTTTTCAGTATATTTACAAGATGTATTCACTGTCATCACAGTTTTAGAACATTTTTATCCTCCCAAAAAGAAACCCCCTACTGCTTACCAGTGACTCCCCATCCTGCCCAAACCCCTTAGCCAGGGCAACCATTTATCTACTTTATGTCTCTAGATTTTCTTATTCTGGATATTTCATATAAATGGAATCCTACAACGTATGGTCTTTTGTGTCTGGTTTCTTTCACTTAACATAATGTTGTTGAAGTTCACCCATATTGTAGCATATGTCAGTACTCCATTCCATTTTATGGCTGAAAAATATTCCATTGTATAGATACACTACATTTTATTTATTGATTAATCATTTGATGGACATTTAGGTTGTTTGGACTTCTTTTTTTGTTATTGCGAATAATGTTCATGTGTAAGTTTTTGTGTGGGCATATTTTTTCATTTCCGTTGGAATGAAATTGCTCTCCAGGACTGGAATTGCTGGCTTATATGGTAGCTTTATGTTTAACATTTTGAGGAACTACTAGACTTTCCCATTTTACATTCCCAATAACAGTGTATGAAGTTCCAACTTCTCTACATCCTCACCAACATACCTTCTTGTGTTCTGTGAGTTTTCTTTTTCATATACTTGAAGGTGTCCATTGAAGTACAAAACTTTTAAATTTTGGTGAAGTTCAGTTTATTTTTTTCTTTCATTGCTTCTGCTTTTGGTGACATTTAAAAAATAATTGCCAAATCCAAGATCATGAAGATGTTATCCCCCTATGTTTCTTCTAAGAGTTTTACAGTTTTATAATTTTTGCTTTTATGTTGAGGTTTTAGATGTATTTTGAATTAATTTTTATACATGGTATGAGATAGGGGTCCAGTTTCATTGTTTTACATGAAGATATCCAGTTGTTACAGCACCATTTGTTAAAAAGCCTTATTCTTTCCTATTGAAGCTATTGGAAGTTTTAAGCAGAAAAACGAATACTTAACTCTGGTTACTGTGTAGAGTATCAGCTCCTACATTTCTGAATGTTAGAATGGCAACAAAAATACTAAAAGTGAGTAGTCAGTGCCATAGAACTAAGAGTAGAAACAATGTGATGTCCAAAAAGGCATGACAATAAAATGTTACAAGAAGAGAAAGTGGTCAACTGTGTGGAATCCTACTGAATGATTAAAATATATAAGAAATCAATAACCTTCTTATTGCCAAATCCAGTATTTAAGACCTTTTGAAGGATAGCAGTCTTGACAGAGTAATAGTAATAGCAGTTGGATTAGAATTAGTTAAGTAATAAATTTGGGGAGACAAACTGGAGATAACTCTTTAAAGAAATTTGCTGAGAAGATTTTTTTGTATGTGTGGACAAGCTTGTCCTAAAATTTATATGGAAAGGCTAGAAAAGCAAAAGCAACTATGACAGAAAAATAAGTGGGAGGAAACAGTCTACCTGTTTTAAGACTTTTATGTAGCTTCAGTAATCAAAGCAGTATAGTATTGAATGCGGCATAGACACATAAGTCATTGGAATAGAAAAACAAACAAACAAACAAACAAATAGATTGAACCGCAACCTACTCATTTTTGCCAAAGATATAAAAGGCAATAAACAAAGTATATTTCCTTAACATGTTCAATAAATGGTGCTAGAGCAATTAGATATAAATAAGCAAAAACATGAACAGACTAGTATTACATGTAACAACTTAGATGGATCTTGAGGGCATTTATGCTGAAAAACAAAAAACAACTATTTCAGAAGGTTACATACTGTATGATTCCATTTATACAACATTCTGGAAATGAGAAAATTACAAAAATGGAGAACAGATTATTGGCCAAGGCTGTAGGAACTCTAAGGGGGTGGAGGGATGATGCAACAGTTCTCTATCTTGTTAGTGGTGGTCATCACACAAATCTATACACGTGGTAAAATTGCAGAGAACTAACTACCCATGCGTGTGCATACACACACAAATGCATGTTTAAAAATAGTGAAGTTTAAATAAGGTATTTAGGTTATACCATGTCCATTTACTGGTTTTGCTTTTGTACTGCAATGTAAGATGTTACCATTAGGGAAAATTGGATACACAGGACTACTGCTGTTTTTGCAACTTCCTGTGAGGCTATAATTATTTAAAAATAAAAGCTTATAAAAATTTGCTGGGAAGGGGAACATAAATGCAGTATTAGTTGGAAAGATGAGAAGTTGAGAGTGGGACTTTTTGTTTCAATTTTCCTTTTTTAGGAAAGATGGGGGATACTAAAATATGCTGATGAAATGATCCATAAAGGGAGGAAAATTGGTGATGCAAATGAGGGAAAATTATACCAGCAAAATACAGATCTTAAATCTTTGGCTTGAAGGCATTGAAAATGCTATTTACATATTTCTGTCCTATTATTTATAAATGCGGCTATCTTTACAACTAGTAAATGATTCTAAAGGCAAATGTGGCTATGGTGTAGTCCTTTAATATTCTAAAAATTCCACATGCTTTTGTATATTACATTATGGAACTGGATCACTAAATAAAATAGAATTCCAGGGTTTTTATCATGCTTGCTGGTATTCATTTGTAAATAACACAAAGAGTTTTATGTATTACTATATGCTGTTATCATTTTCAGGTTTTCATCCAGTATAGTCATTAATTCCTTTGGAGATTTTTATATGTGTGTTTATGAGTAACTGTAATTGTTTACCATTTAAAATTAAATGAGTGGTGGTTGTGTTTTGCTTTGTGGTAGATAATGGATTTTTATCTCTATCTCAGCAAAGTATTCTACTGTTTCACCCTTTATCTATAATGTAGTGATATCAGAGTGCTCAATACAAATTATTGCTGTTTATTTCAGGGATACAGCAGGCCAGGAGCGATTTCACACCATCACAACCTCCTACTATAGAGGAGCAATGGGTATCATGCTAGTATATGACATCACCAATGGGAAAAGTTTTGAAAACATCAGCAAATGGCTTAGAAACATAGATGAGGTAAGACCTAGAAATTGTATAAACCCTTCACAAATACACATTTGTGTGGTTGGTTAAGAAGAAAAAGTGTTTAATGATCTTTAGAATATAATGTACTGCCATTATTAAAGATGGTCTCAAATAGAAGCTACTGATATATACCTCTCTTTAAATGCTTTATGGATGAATTTTTATTGAATGAATGAATTACATTTTTGGTGGTAATTTAAAACTGATATTTTTCACTTCTAGACATTTGAAAAGATACAGGGTACTAAGACAAAAATACCTAACCAAGAAAGTAATGCCATATCATTTCATGTAAAGATGTCAGTTTTTATAAGGTGACATGTATGTCAAAGCCTGTCTATTTTTGTGCTACAGTATAGGTAGCTTCTTGTTGGAATTAGTTTTCATATTTATTGCTGCTTTCTGGGCTTTGACTTTCATTAAGACTTCCTTTTTTTATAGCAATTTATGGCTGGATATATGAAGACCATCTTAAGACCGTATTAGACCCAGCATGACAGTATCTTCAACGGTAGCAATATAAGTGCTCAATACTAACTCTTCGATTGCTACAGTAAATCTTCAAGGAGAAGCCTGTTAGTATTTAAAATCAGTTAACAAAGTACAGATTTTGAAAAAAAAAAAAGGCCTCCATTTTAGATTTCCTTAACTTTATCTTATGTTACAACCAAGTAGCTCATGTAATAAAGAGCAACTTTTTAATTAAGATATCATTGATACACAATCTTGTGAAGGTTTCACATAAGCAACATTGTGGTTTTAACACTCACCCATATTACCAAGTCCTGCTCACCCCCGCACCCTATTGTAGTCCCCGTCTGTCAGCATAGTAAGATGCTGCAGAGTTACTGTCTTCGACATGCTATACTGACGTCCCCATGACCTACCTATATTGTGAGTGCTAATTATAATGCCCCTTATTCTTCTCCCTCCCCTCCTTTCCACCCACACATCCCAGCCCCTTACCTTTGGTAACTGCTAGTCCCTTCTTGGAGTCTGTGAGTCTGCTGCTGTTTTGTTCCTTCAGTTTTGCTTTGTTATACTCCACAAATGAGTAAAATCATTTGGTACTTGTCTTTCTCTGTCTGACTTATTTCACTGAGCAAAATATCCTCTGGCTGCATCCATGGTGTTGCAAATATTTGGTAGGATTTGTTTTCATAAAGAGCAATTTCTATGGAGACTATGCATTCTTCAAATTCTATGATATCAGCTTGATGACCTGTAGTTCAGTCCTGTTCTGACACTACCTATCCAGCCTTAGTGCCAGACTCCAGAGGTTTAAGGACTGAGTCCCATAAGACTACCCTTCCAACAAATCCAAGTCCTTGGTCCTCTAGGCTACCTACACTTCTTTCTGACTTGGCTACAAATTTGGGTTCCCCATGACCCACTTGGTTTCAGTAGTTTGCTAGAATGACTCACAGAACTCGGGAAGGTGCTCTACCTACAATTACAGTTTTATTATAAAGGATACAAATCAGGAATAGCTAAATAAAAAGAGAGTCATAGGCATGGTTTGGGGTTGGGCAATGCAAACCTTCCATTCTGTCTCTGAACATATCATCTTGGCACCTTGTGTTCACCAACCTGAAAGATCCCCTATGTTCATTGTTTCAGTTTTCATGAGTGTGGTTAATGAAATCTTTGGCCTCTGGTGATTGAACTTATCTAGCGCCCTTCACTCTTGTGAGGTGGGTTAGGGGGGAAGCTGAAAATAAGAACCCTTTAATCAGGTGTTTGGTTCCTCTGGTGACCAGCCTCCATTGTGAAGCTCTGTAAGAACCCTGCCTTGTGTCCTTCATTAACATAAAATTAGGTAAATACGAAGGAGTCTGGTATGGATAACAAAAGGCAGTCCTATCACTCAAGAAATTAGGAGCACTGTGCCAATAATGGGGACAAAAACCAAATACATTTTTTATTATACTACAAGCTTATATGTTTAACTTGGTAGGTTGAATGGCTTAGTTTCCCAGCGTGATCATTAAAACACATAAAACTCAGCCATTAAAAAGAAAAAATTTTGGACATATTAAAGCTTGGCTTTGCCTAATTTTCACTTTGTTTCAGAAGTTAAAACTTGTAACTCAATGAAAAGAAACTGAATTGATCCAGAAACATTTTTAAAAGGATTATGTATCAAGATCAAGAGTAATTTACCTAGGAATGCAAGGGTAGTTCAACATATGAAATCAGTCACAGTTAATAAACCAACCATATTAATAAAAAACAAAAACAATATGATCAACAGACATAGAAAGAAACATTAGACAAAATCCAATATCTTTTCATGATAAAAACATTCAACAAAGTAGAAATAGAAGAGTACTTCTTTAGCTGAATAAAGGACATCTATGAAAATCCCACAGCCAGTATCATACCTGCCCTCTGTAATCAAGAAAATAAGGATTCCTGCTCTGGCCACTGTTGTTCAAACTTTTACTGGAGGTTCTAGCCAGAACAATTAGGCAATGGGGGGAAAAAAAGGGCACCCAGATTGGCAAGTAAAATTATATTTGTAAAATATCTGATCTTCATGTAGAAAATGCTAAGGAATCCACACACATACATAAAAAAAAAAAAGTTGAATACGGTTGCAAGAAACAACAGCATACAAGAAGCAGTTGTATTTCTTATATACTAACAATGAATAATCCAAAAATGAAGTTAAGAGTAGACTTCTACTAAAGGAATCCTTGTATACTATTGGTGGGAATATTAATTGGAATAGCCACTGTGGAGTGGGGGGAAGAATAGAATTCTACTTAACAATAACATCAAGAAAAAAATATAAAAAGTTTAACCAAAGACACATACACTGAAAACAATAAAATGTTACTGAAAGAAATTAAAGATCTAAATAATTGGAAAGACATCACATGTTCATGAATTGGAAGACTTCATATTGTGTTTCTCTTACTTTTTTTTTTTTTTTAGACTTCTGTTTTTTATTTTGATTTGGTGGACCTAAAAATCCTTTTAGTCTTGGATTTACTTTTTTTTAAATTGATAAACAGTTTTACATTAGTTTCAAGTATACAACACAGTGGTTCAACAATCACCTGTATTATTAAATCCTCACCACCACTAGTACTGCTGCTATCTGTTAACATAAGAAAATGTTACAGAATCATAAATTCTCCATGCTGCACTATCATCCCTGAGACCAGTGTACATTATGATTGAGAATTACTGTGCCCCTTTATCCCCCTCAACCCCTCATAGTAGCCACAAGTCAATTCTCAGTGTCTCAGAGTCTACTGCTGTTTGTTTCATTCTGTTTTGCTTTGTTTTTATATTCCACAAATAACTGAAATCATATGGTATCTGTCTTTCTCCACCTGGCTTATTTCACTGAGCATAATACCTTCTAGATCCATCCATCTTGTTGCAAATGGCAGAATTTTTTTTATGGCTGAACAATATTCCATTATGTGTATGTACCACATCCTCTTTATCCATTCATCTATTGACGGACACTTAGGTTGCGTCTGTATCTTGGCTGTTGTAAATAATACAGCAGTTAACATAGGGGTACATGTATTTTTTCAGATCATGGATTTTGTTTTCTTCAGGTAAATTCCTAGAAGTGGAATTGCTGGGTCGAATGGTATTTCTATTTTTAGTTTTTTGAAGAACCTCCATACTGCTTTCCACAGTGGCTGCACCAATTGACATTCCCGGCAATAGTGTAGAAGAGTTTTTCTCCACATCCTCACCCACACTTGTTATTTCTTGTCTTTTGGATAGTGGCCATTCTAACTGACATGAGATAGTATCTCATTGTGGTTTTAATTTGCATTTCCCTGTTGATAAGCGATGTGGAGCATCTTTTCATGTGCCTTTTGACCATCTGTATTTCTTCTTTGGAGAAATGTCTGTTCAGGTCCTCCCCATTTTTTAATTGGTTATTTGTTTTGTTTGGTGTTGAGGCATATGAGTTCTTTATGTATTTTGGATGTTGACTCCTTACTGGATAAAATAATTTACAAATATATTCTTCCATACTGTAGGTTGCCTTTTTGTTCTGCTGATGGTATCCTTTGCTGTACAGAAGCTTTTTTAGTTTGATGTAGTCCTACTTGTTCATTTTTGTTTCCCTTGCCTAAGGAGATGTATCCAGGAAAAAATTACTTATATTTATGTTCAAGAGATTTTTGCCTGTGTTTTCTTCTGAGAGTTTTATGGTTTCATGTCTTAACATTCAGATCTTTAATCCATTTTGAATTTACTTTTGTGTATGGAGTTAGGCAGTAATCCAGTTTCATTCACTTTCATGTAGCTGTCCAGTTTTCTCAGCACCAGTTATTGAAGAGACTGTCTTTTCCCCATTGTATATTCAAGGCTCCTTTATCATATATTAATTGACCATATATGCATGAGTTTTATATCTGGACTCTTTGTTCTGTTCCTTTGATCTATGGGACTTTTCTTGTACCAGAACCTTATTGTTTTGATTACTGTAACTTTGTAGTATAGGTAGAAGTCAGTGAACATAATCCTCCCTACTTTGTTGTTCTTTCTCAGAATTGCTTTGGCTATTTGGGGTCTTTTGTGGTTCCATATAAATTTTATAACTATTTGATCTAGTTCACTGAAAAATGCTATTTGAATTTTGATAGGGAGTACATCTTAAAGTTGCTTTGGGCAGGATGGTCATTTTGACAATACTAATTTTTCCTATCCATGAGCATGGGATAGATTTCCCCTTATTTGTGTCTTCTTTAATTTCTCTCGTAAGTGTCTTACGGTTTTCCGAGTATAGATCTCTCACTTCCTTGGTTACATTTATTCAGAAACATAAAAGGTAAAAAGGTGAATGTAAAACGAAGAAAGGTATTTTATTATTTTTGATGCAAGTATAAATGGAATTGTTTTCCTTATTTCTCTTTCTGCTAGTTCATTGTTAGTATATAAGTGCAAACAGATTTATTTTTATGTATTAATTTTGTATACTGCACCTTTGCTGAAATCAGTTATTCAAATCATTTTTTGGTGGAGTCTTTAGGGTTTTTCTATGTGTAATATCATGTCATCTGCTAAATAAGACTTGATATTGTTAACATGGCAGCACTTCCCAAAGTGATCTACAGATACATTGTAATCCCTATCAAAATCCCAGTTGCTACCTCTTTTTTTTTTTGACAGGTTGATCCTAAAATTCATATGGCAATGCAAGGGACCCAGAATAGGGAGTCTTGAAATGGGAAATGACATTTAAGCTGAGACCTGAAGAAATGAATAGAAGTTATCCAGAAAAGGATAGGGCTGAAAAAACAGGTGTGATGGATTCGAATTTAAGATAAATCAAATCAGATTACTTTTGTGTCCAGAGAACATAACTACCTTGGTGGTAGAGATATTCAGAGAAAGGTACAGTAAGCCAAAGATACATAATTTGCATATATTTTTCCCATCCCATGGGTTGCCTTTTCACTCTATCGATAATTACCTTTGACACATAGAAGGTTTTAATTTTGATGAAGTTTTGATTTTTTTCTTTTATTGCCTGTACTTTTGGTGTTATATCCAAGAAATCATTGCCAAATCCAGTATCATAAAACTTTTCTCCTATGTTTTCTTCTGAGAGTTTTACAGTTTTAAGTCCTATGTTTAGGTTTTTGATGCATTTTGAGTTCATTTTTATATATGGCATTAGTTACAGATCCAGCTTCTTTCTCTTGCATGTTGATATCTGGTTATTTCCAACACCATTTGTTGAAATGACTGTCCTTTTCCCCATTGAATAATCTTGGCATTCTTGTCAAAAAACATTTGACTGTGATGCAAAGATTTATTGGTTAGCTCTCTATCCTGTTCCATTTGTCTGTGTCTGTCTTGATTACTGTAACACTTTTTGATCACTATCAGCTTTGTAGTAAGTTTTGAAATCAGGAAGTATGAATCTGCCAACTTTACTTTTTCCGGATTGTTTGGCCATTCAGGGTCCCTATGAATTTGAGGGATGGATTTTTCTAATTGTTGAAAAGATGTCATTAGGATTTGGATGGAGCAAACATTTTTAACTGATTTTCTTTGTGGAATCTCCTTGTATCTTGGCAGTGCAGCTTTTTGATACTTTAAGCACTCTATAAAATTCTTAATTAAAGCCTCTGTACGGTAATAATGAACATCATCTAAAATGATGATACAGCTTGGATTTAGATTACACGTAAGAGACTCCAGTTTCAGATCTTTTGCCTCTACCCTCTTTTTTGGTGAGAACATATCTAGAAACTAGATGGTCTTTTATAGAGGGAAAATAATATCTGACACGGATATATTTTAGGAATTGTGCTTCTTTTTCTAGCTATGTAAGAATTTGTGTAGGCTTTTGGCATGGGGTGATTTTAGAATGCTTTAAAACTTTTTGACTATAGAAATTACACCATAAGTTGAGAAAAATAAAGTCATTTTGTGAGACTATTAAGCCATATGAATGGTAGTGTGTAAATTAAATTTTTATTCCATTTTAGCATGCCAATGAAGATGTGGAAAGAATGTTACTAGGAAACAAGTGTGATATGGACGATAAAAGAGTTGTACCTAAAGGAAAAGGAGAACAGGTAAAAAGCTCTGAGTGATACTGATGTGTTGCTGTTTCTTTGTGAACGTGGTATCGCATTTGATTGATTTTCAGCAGTAATGGAATACACTGAACTATTCAGATTTTTTTAATTGAAATATTATTGATATCAATCTTATATTGGTTTCAAGTACACAACTGTGTGGTACAACAGTTACCCATATTATTAAACCCCCCTGCAACTAGTGCAGTTACTATCTGTCAACATAGGAAGATGTTACAGAATCATTGGCTGTGTAACTCATGCTGTACTACCATCCCCATGACCAACTTATATTATGATTGAGGATTTTTATGCCTCTTTATCCTTCTCACCCTCCTACCCATCCCCCAACCCACCTTCCCATTGGTAACCCCCAGTCACTTCTCAGTGTCTGAGTCTACTGCTGTATTGTTCATTTTGTTTTGATTTTATATTCCACAGATAAGTGAAATCATGTGGTATTTCTTTCTCCACTTGGCTTATTTCACTTAGCATAGTATCATCTTGGTCCATCCATGTTGCAAATGGCAGGATTTTTTTTAATGGCTGAGTAATATTCCATTGCGTATATCTACCACATCTTCTTTATCCATTTGTCTATTGATGGACACTTAGTTTGTTTCCATAACTTGACTTTTGTCAATAATGTGGCAATAAACAGGGGTGCATATATCTTTTCAAGTCAGGGATTTTGTTTCCTTCAGGTAAATTCCTAGAAGTGGAATTAGTGGGTCATATGGTATTTCTATTTTTCACATAATTTTTTAAATGCTGTTGGAAACAACAGCTTTATTATTTGAGTGGATTTTTTTAGTTCATATCCAGTGTGTATGGGAAGATTCAAATCTGAGGTAGTAGTGTTTTAGCCTTATTTAAACTACAAGGAGGGGAAAGTACAAATCAATGATTCTCAGTTTTTTAACTGAAGACTTAAAGATCTGTATCAATATGATTCCACAGTTTGATAATCAGTAGCCTGTGACAAGCAGAAGTTAGAAACTGTTTTGAATTTCCCTTAGGTTTGTCCCTAGCCTAAAATACCTTGTTTAGAATATCTGAAGTGAAGTCTGAGTGTGAGAAGAGGATTCTACTTTTGTTTACTTACTTATTTTTGAAAGAGCTTCACTGTTTGAATCTTGACCTATTAAAATAATCTGTTTTATGTAACATAGTTCAGAATGCTACCTTTAGAATATTATTTCCTCTAAAGTGCTCAAATAATCAGTTGGCAACCTATCCTTGATAATTTTAGGACATTTTGTTTCTATTTTAGATTGCAAGGGAGCATGGTATTAGATTTTTTGAGACTAGTGCAAAAGCAAATATAAACATCGAAAAGGCGTTCCTCACATTAGCTGAAGATATCCTTCGAAAGGTAAGCTCCTGTTTTTACTTCCAAGGTGCCCAGTGTCACAGTTGAATATTTAGTCTTTTCTAAAGTAAGGGATTTAGATTAAAAAATTGGGGTTGGGTAGTAGTAGTCCTGAATCTTTACCTCCAAAGTGAAGTAAGGAACTGAGCAGAGAGCCATCTGGAAGTCTGTAAGATCTGGCCCGTGGGAACAGTATTCTGTTCTCTCACACTTTCTCTAGTTCCCAGTTTCATCCACTTTTTTTCCGGCTTTCTGTCTGGTCCACAGTGTGTACGTCCTCTGTTTACTTTTGGACTCATTCTCTTACATGTCCTTAGCATTACCATAGAGATATGTATTTTTAAATTTAAGATAAGAGGTGAATCTATTATGTAGTTATTGCTATAGAATCACTATTCTTCTGTATAGTCATTTCTCAGATGAGCCAGTGCAGGGCTTATATACAGTTGACCATTGAACAATGTGGGGGGTAGGGGTGCTGACCCCACTGCTCAGTCCAAAATTTGTATGACTTTTAATTCCCCCAGAACTTAACTACTAATAGCCTACTGTTGACTAGAAGCTTACTGATAACATAAACAGTCAGGTAACACATATTTTGTATGTTTTATGTATTCCCTACTGTATTCGTAAGGAGAAAAAGTATTTTTTCAAATTGTTGCATATCTCCAAAAAGTTTTCCAATAAATTTTTTTGTTTTAAGGTTTATACGAATAAGTAGAAAAGCCCATCCCCAGATTTCATTTAGTCAGTCATTTCAGCTAGTGATATGAGGGGATAAAAGCTAAAGCTGAAAATATGATTTCAAGGAATTCATTTTTACCTCAGGGTTAGTTTTCTGGGTTTAATTTGTGAATCCTAAAACTTGCCAGTACAAGTAACTTGTGACAAAATTGGGAAATCCTCACTTTCATATTTTCCCTGAAATTACTAGATATAATACATAGATTTGGTTATGGGTCCTGAATTCTCTATTCAATTTATGGTTTATTTAAATGCAAAAAAAATAGAGAAAATCTGACACAAATCCTAAAAGAGAAGCAAACATTATATAAGAGAAAATGTAATTGCTTCTGGTAACCTCTGTTTTTATACTTGAAATACCAGTATTTTTTCAAAGAGCAACCCAAAGATTTTTTTAAGTACATGTTTATAAACATAAGATGTAATAGAGATTGTGTATCAAATATAAATCTAGCAAAAATTCCGAGAAACCATGCAGCTTAATACTTTAGAAAGAAGTGTAGTTATAGTTAATTATAATTGAGTATTCAAACTGCAAAAATCAGTTAGTCCTATTCAGAATGACTTGCAAAAGTTGGGCCCTTCCATGCCTGCCAACATCCTTCACATCATGTCTGATAACAGATAATGTTGAGTAATAAGATGCAAGTTAGGTCTCAGTGTGTGTAGTATGAGCTTATTCTTTAAAATTACATGATACTGAATATACATGTGTGTGCATGTACACACTTGTAAGTTTGATAATAATCAGTGAATAATGATCTGGAAAGATACATACCAAACTCTTAAGTAGTAACTACTCCAAGGGAATGATGGTGGGGAGGGGAGGGGATAGAGGACAAACTCACTCACCACCTTTTATCTTTATATAGTTTTGTTTTGAAATTTTAACATCTCTTTTTTAGATAATAAAAACAATTAAAAAATTTTTAATATTCTTTCACAAGTGGATAAAAGGAAAAAAATCAATTGGAATTCCTTGAGGAAATGCATTTTTATTTTAAAATATTCCCATGAGAAACAAAAACAATAAAGAAAAATGCTAAGTGGGTAGGAAAAACGGTTGTACTTTCAATTAAATGAAGGGACTAACAGGAATAGAAAATTACTTTTTTTTAAATTAGTGGAAAGCACTTTGTATTTCAGAGATTGATGGGTCATAGTGACAAATCATTCCTATACTCACAAGACATCACAAAATTTAGTGAAATAACCCTTGTTTCTGTGTTCTTTCTCCTTTCTGGATTTTTTGTTCTTGTTCTTTTTCATCATTTCTGATTTCTTTCTGTCCATTCTGTCCCTTGGTCTTCTTACCAATCTTGGCATTTTAAAAAAGAATGCTATATAGTCATTATGTAATCTGTGTCCCAGTGAGGCAGATCTTACTATCATATTAAAGGTCAAAAAATATGGATGCACCAGTAAATAAAGATCTTGGTCTAGTGTCTTCCCCATGTAGGCAGGCCCCTTAAAAGGCAAATAACTAAACAGAAAAGGATTGTTTCAATTTGCTGTAGTTAGTTAAACATGACCCAGCCTTGGGCTTATACCTATGCTCAATAATGCTTTGTAAGTACTAAGTACTCAGGGTCAGGCAGAGATAACAAACCTCTATCCCGAAGAGTTAGGGCAGAGATGTTTTGATGGATGACAGGAGGCCTCTAGACGTTTCTTGGCTTGGAGAAAGCAGGCAAAATGAAGATAAAAAATGGAGCTTTCTGGCTCCAAATCTTTACTTTGCACAGAGGAGAAAACCTATCTTATGTCTGTAATTGCATTTTGTTGCATAAATTAACATTTTCAAAAATATTTCTGTTGAATCTTGATTTATCCATAGCAATGTTTTTTCATGGGTTACTTCCCTTGTGTGTTTGTTCCAGACCCCTGTAAAAGAGCCTAACAGTGAAAACGTAGATATCAGCAGTGGAGGAGGCGTGACAGGCTGGAAGAGCAAATGTTGCTGAGCGTTCTCCTGGTCCACCAGTTGCCATCCACCACCCTGTTTTCTCTTCTTGCTGCAAGATAAACCACTCTGCCCATTTTTAACTCTAAACAGATACTTCTGTTCCTCATTTTAACTCTCCAGTCCACCTTATTTGTTCTTTCATCTGTGACTGCTTGCTGACTTATAATTTCCTTCAAACAAAAAAAATGTATAGAAAAATCATGTCTGTGACTTCATTTTTAAATGTACTTGCTCAGCTCACCACTGCATTTCAGTTGTATTATAGTCAAGTTCTTCTTATCAACATTAAAACCTATAGCAATCATTTCAACTCTATTCTGCAAATTGTATAAGAATAAAAGTTAGAATTAACAATTTTATTTTGTACAACAGTGGAATTTTCTGTCATGGATAATGTGCTTGAGTCCCTATAATCTATAGACATGTGATAACAAAAGAAACAAAAGCCAGGAAAACACTCATTTTCGCCTTGAATATGTAAATGGGGTTAATTTTGTCCTGTGCCTTACATGGAAAGGAATTTCTTTGCTTTTTCCTTTTTTCGTTTTGGTGGGAGCATGTGCAGGAGACATATCCAAACGTAAACCGTTAAAATGTTTGTAGTTTGCTTGGCTGTAATTTTCCGAGTAGTTAATTGAGGACAAAGGATACTGCAGAAATGATCGCCTTGGTTTGCTGAGTCTTATTGTAAGTGGCCTTGACACTCTCCACTATTCCTGCCACCAGTTCTCCGCCAGGCCACTTTTCACTGTGTCTGTCTGCCTGCATGCTGCTTTATTTGCTGCTTCCTCCCCACCACTCTATGAGTTATTTAAAAATCAAAGGGGCAAACTAGTAGGTTTGTCAAATTTAACATGAAGCACTGATTTAACTTGCTGACTAAACTGAAAAGATGAAATTCTAACTTCCTACTATCAGATGTCTTCCCCTTGTTTTCTCTCTCCCCTAAAACTTCTGTCCTAGATTCCTTCATTTGCTGATTTACTTCATGTTCCTCTTCTCCTTCCCTCTTTGCTCCCTTCCCATCTCTCCATGGAGTTTATGAAATGAAAGAGTTAATTGCATGCACTAGTGTTTGGAGGGTGTTGTGGTTTGTCTTTCTGATTAGGTGTATAGCCCGTTCACTTTCCTAGAATAAATCTCTTAACCTAAGTTTGGGTCTTCTCCATTTGGCAACTCCTCTAGCAGCTTGGTAGCCCAGTAAAGGTGATTTTCTAAATGGTGGGTAGGAGGAGTGCAATTGATGAACGTGTTTGCCAAATATATTGAGATTTGGCCTCTGAAGAACACTTTTTCAGTGTTAAGTTGTCTTTACCTTAAGATTTAGAGATACTTACAAATATTACTTTTAAGTCCTCTCTTCACATCCCTTCACATGGGAAACTGGTATTACCATGGATTTGGAAAAAGGACAACAAAAGGCTTTTCGTGTAAACATAAGATCTCTGCTATCTATGATGGAGTCCTTTTTTCATTTCATTTTCCTAGTTTTGCTTCATTGCTAATCATCAAGATAGGGTAAGTTAAGTTTGCTATGCTGCTAGCATCCTAAGATGATACCTTTGTTGAAATAATTGTGAATAGCATGATTTCATTTCCAGCAGAGGCTGAGTTTAGGACAGCAGCTTCCATTGAAAAGTCTGTCGTGGACAGCATTTTAATGCCCTCTTGACTCACATAAACAAACAACATGGGGACGTATCTGCTGTAAAACATCCATGAGTTCTTCAGATAGTGCCCTAAAAACAATTTTATATGCCTCACTGGTGGTTGTTCTTAGGTTTTTCCCTCACTTGACTATCATTGTTTACTACTAGTAAAAGAGCATTGCCAAATAATCCCTAATTCTCCACTAAGAATAATAATGAAATGTTTGCTTCCATTGAAAAGTCTGTCGTGGACAGCATTTTAATGCCCTCTTGACTCACATAAACAAACAACATGGGGACGTATCTGCTGTAAAACATCCATGAGTTCTTCAGATAGTGCCCTAAAAACAATTTTATATGCCTCACTGGTGGTTGTTCTTAGGTTTTTCCCTCACTTGACTATCATTGTTTACTACTAGTAAAAGAGCATTGCCAAATAATCCCTAATTCTCCACTAAGAATAATAATGAAATGTTAAGCTTCTCTAAAAGTTTTAGGTTAAACCTACTGTTGTTAGATTAATTTTAATGTGTTTTGTTGTTTTCCTTTATCTGGAATGTGATAGTAGCTTTTTATTTTTAACCCTCTTTAATCATTCAATTCAGTGACTTAAGGTTTGAGAGCTTAAACACTGGGATTTTTGGGTAACAGACTGACAGTTTTGTTTGCATAATTATAATCGGCATTGTACATAGAAAGGATATGGCTACCTTTTGTTAAATCTGCACTTTCTAAATATCAAAAAAAGGGAAATGGAGTATAAATCAATTTTTGTATAACCTGTTTGAAACATGAATTTTATTTGCTTAATATTAGGGCTTTGTCCCTTGTTCTGTAAGTTTCTTGGGATCCTGTGTAGAAGCTGTTCTCATTAAACACCAAACAGTTAAGTCCATTCTCTGGTACTAGCTACAAATTCGGTTTCATATTCTACTTAACAATTTAAATAAACTGAAATATTTCTAGATGGTCTACTTCTGTTCGTATAAAAACAAAACTTGATTTCCAACTGTGTGGCTTGGTTTTCATTTATTTATGGAGTTGAAGATAGAGGATTACTTCTGAAAATAATGGAGAACAGCAAAATGAGTATTAGAGGAGTAGAAATAGAAGGGAAATAGCCTTCTCAACCCAGGAACAACAGAAGGCAATTTCAGGAACTATCTTTGGTAAGAAACTGCATAAAATGCAGAATCTCTAGGACACTAAAACAGAATCATCCTGGTGTCAAAAAAGATACCACAATCTTAGTCACTCCCCAGCTAACAAAACCAGAATGTGCCAAAGGCCAGCTGCAACTAAAGTCAGCTGATTACAAGGGGCACCAGCATAAGCTTGCATGCTGGATGGTGAGTCCTCGTTTTAGCAATGACTGCTCTCTAATCGGAAAAATGTGCTTTCTACCTTTTTTTGTGAACCATAAGCAACAGCATATGTGTTCTGTACATATATATAATATGTACATAGACATTACTGAAAGAAGTGCTTTATCTTGTATGAAGGCCTTATTAGTCCTCAAATAAAAGTATTTGACAAGATTATCTTTGTTGAAAGGATGTATGTAGGTTTTCTCATACTCTACTGCAGGAATCACCTGGGTTGGTTTTTTTTTTTTTAATGTTTCCCCATTCACTCCAATGTATTTCTATTTTGTGTGTCTAGGGTGGGGCTTATGATCTTGCTTTTGAGATTGGTATAGGAAAATAGAACATGTTATTGCCCTTAAATTTGTTTAGAAGGCAAAAGCAGTTAATAATCAGCTAAGCAGATAGAAGAGCCAAATAGTTGTGATCCAGATTTTAAACGCTGAATTTAATAGACGAGCAAGTTCAGTTGGTGAGAATAGTTCGGGTGGCTTCTTGAGGGTGGAGGGACCTGAATTGGTTCTTAGGCTTGTAGATGATTGGCTAAAACTGGAGAGGGTAAGAAGGGACCATGGACAAATCAGAACTAGCTTTGCTATGTGAGAAACCAGAAGTCTAACTGGAGATTGTGAGAGACAGTGGGGTGTGCTGGTAGCCCCTTAAGAGTGGTGAGAGCCATGTGAGGACGAGTCTAGAAGGATGGAAGAGGAGAAACTGAGGAAGTTAGAGATCCCGTAGGAGGCTGTGTTGAGATTTGAATTGGACCCAGCTAAAATGATAGCAGAGGGCAGCACGGTTAAATTTCAAATATGTAAATGGGGAAGAATGTTGCCAACTAGGAAGTCTGCCAGGTGCCCGTAGTGGTGTGTCCTTCTGGTTATGTCATCACCCTGGTAAAATAGTACCCACTTTACAAAAACTGCAGAGTCGTACTGTGCTTATGGTTGCACAGCCAGTTGGTGCTGGGGTTGGATCTCGAAACCAAACCCGGTACCAGTGCCCATTCTATTTTTACTTTCACCATGTAGCTCTTTCACAGGATAAGGTCCTAAGGTTTGGTTGTAATGACTATAATGGCGGTAATAAACATGTGCCAGAGCCAACAGAAAGAGAATGCTACAGTGTAGTCTTGTCTAGTTAATGTAACCATTTAGTCTAGTTTTGGTACTGTCTTGCCGATGGGTTTCAGCCCCGGGCAAGTTCGCTATGGATTCAGTGTGACCAAAGGAATCGACAGCGAAACGTTCTTGGGGTGAAAGGATTTATTTACCCGGCTTGTTCTGCGGTAGGTCAAGCACTAGCGTCTGCCTCCGCCCAGAGCACTGGGCCGAGCTCTATATATAGCGCAATAATAGCTTACTGCCTCCAGGTGTGGAAGCGGCAGCCCAGCAACAGGCCAGTTACATCATCAGGTGGTTTAAGTTCAGTGAGGATCCTGGCCCTAGGAACCCCAACTTCCCCACAGGTACCTTCTAACAGAGGAGTACCCTTGAAAAGTACTTATTTCAGTTTACTAGTTTTTACTTTAAACCCCTATTACCTCTACTACCCTGCTAATTTTGTATCCTACGTGAAACCATCTTTTGGCTGAAAGTAAGGCAGTTGCTTTTCACAATTCTCTTAATTGGCTTTCTGAGGCTAGACTTTGAGGGGGACTTTGTTGCTTATGAATGGCTACAACAATGAGTGATACTGATGAAATAACTCAAAATGTAAGGGAGAGGAATGAAGGTTGGATATAGTTTAGGAGAATTTGAGATATTTATTATAAAAAAAATTACAGTGTAGGTGTGTAAGATCAAGAGCCATGCAGGGGGTAGAGTGCTCCAAGCTTTTCTGGAACACTAAATTTAGGTCTGAGATTTCCAGTACTGAAGAAGGTAGTGTATTCTTGTTGCATCTAAAGAGAGCATAACAGTTGCTAAGGAAGGAAAATACCTAGCAGAAAATTCAGTAATTTTGCATAAATTTGTTTGCTGCTTACCACTATAATTTCAATAAAATGAGCAAATTGTAAATTGATGGTGACATTACTACAGGGAGCGTAAGTAATATCTAGATTTGTAGCTATCTAGATTTGTAGCTTTCTGATGATTTGCTAGAAAGTGTAATTAGCATTCTTAAAAGACTCTGAAATGGTCTCAATTGATCTTTTAACTGGAGCTAGAGAGCAGGCAATCTGAGCTAAGCTCTTTAGTGAGTGCTTAAAGGGCAGGGTTTGTGTTAAGTGAAATGGCCCTTTTGCCTCAGACCCCAGATGGTTGGGTAGCAGCTGATACTGCTTTGAAAATGATAGGACTCAAAGGAGAGGCCATTTCACCTGTGCCTCTTCTGAAGTGCCTGAAG